AAAACTGCTCCTAACCCTTGCAAGGGGGCTATCCACACAAAGCAAGTTTAAGTGCTCAATTTTGGCTAGGTGCCAAAAAAAAGAGTAGGTGCCAAAATAAAAGAGTTATACTCACCCGAGCCCCAGAGTGCTCCCTCCAGTCTACCTCCCTTTCCCCTGCAGCGGTGCCATGTCCCTCTTTGTCCTCACTTTCTATACACTGTGTATTGAACATAATGACTCTGGGACCTTAGAATGCTGCAGCGGAGGGGGAGAGAGGCTCCAGGGACCGGTCTAAGAGCAAGCCGGCTCGGAAGATTGGGTGAGTCTAATTTTAATTTTGGCACCAAGACAAAATGAGCACTCAACCCTTGCATTGCATAGCCCCACTGCAAGGGTTACGAAGAGTTTTGAAATTATAATGAATGCTGCGCGTCATCTAGAACAATACATAAACAAATCTCTATAATAAATACCTGGGTGATAATTGGAGGTGACGTATGGACTTTGTACAAAGAACTTTCACAGTGGAAGGATAAAGAGTGTGGTGCACTTGGGATAAATCCTGAGCACTATATACGTGTGATTCCACATTTGTGTATATTGGAACACGGAATATATGATTGAACTTTCCAGAGGATTATTATTTACAAGAAGATTCATTGTTAACACGTTTTTGATTGCATGTATTATTTAAGCACATATTTATTATAGAGATTTGTTTATGTATTGTTCTAGATGAAGCGCAGCATTCATTATAATTTGATATATTCAGAGGGTAACACTTCTCATAGTGCTTGCAGCTACACAGGGTTTAGCGCAAGGTGCTATTTGTCACTTAGAGTTTTGCCCGGTTTTCTGCTTTAACCCTTGCAGTGCTGCAAGATCAATGCTGCAGGGATTGTCCGGCAACAGCCAGTAGGACACAGGACGCACTTTATTAGAGGAAAGTTATGTTGCTGGTGCTGATAGCCAATTCCTGACCATGAAGTACACTAATAAGCAGAAGTTGTGTGAAAAGCATAAAATAAAGTCACATGAGCATGTATTGACCTCCTATCAATCCAGATAAGTCCCACCATTAAAGAAAAGTAAATCCTGGCATAGACCTCTGTTGCCGGCGTTAGAAATATTGTTCTACTCGGTGTTCTGATCACTGAGGGAGGACAAGCCCCATAGAGATCTATAAAAGGGTCTCTGTCTTTACACCAGGCATGGAACAGCTGCCCATTCAAGTGGAATCTGTCTTCAAGGAGCCACGCCGACTTAATTCCTGGAAACACTATAGTTTCAATTACAACATACAGTCTATGCCAGGGAAGGGGGTCTTAAAGAGACGGCGTCCTTTCCCATTCAGGGCTCGTCCGACTGTAAAAAAAAAAGACTATCCCCCCGACCGCTTTATTCTCACCCTTCCAGGTCTCCCCGGCCGCTCCTTTCTCTAAGGCCGCCACTGCAAACAAGTTGGCCTTTCTGGGTATGCAGAAGTAGTTAACCTCCCATGATGCAGTGCTCAGACCTAGAGGCAAGTCGCTAGCACCGAGTGCTGTCACATAATGGAGAGGCTGATTTCAGAAACTACTGAGATGAGGTCTGACACCGGGTATTGTGGGGAGGAGAGCGCTGAAACAATGAGTATGAAATGGTCAGGGGGGGCTTTACACCCTAAATGAGGAAGGTGATCACGTCTCTTTAAAACATTTTCTGAAGAATTGAACTGCAAAACTATAAAATAAAGTAAAGCTTTTCTCAACTGGAGAGCAGCCGGGGCCCCTCTTAATTTATAGACTTGATGTCTGTAACCTATTGATTAGGGTTTCCCCATTACAGTTCCCAATGATGAGAGAAGCTGTTTGGAAGCAGCACTGCCACTGACAGCTCCTGGTCTCTATTGATTAGGAAGCAATCATGATTATGTGATCGCCATGACAACCAATCATCAAGATCAAATGCAGGCCGGAGACGGCACCGTGCCCCTCTTTGTGTACAGTGTTACTGTGTACAATCTACGTTTGTTAAAATGTTCCGGGGCCGGTGCATGTCCTCGGTAAGCCAGTACATTTCTGATGAGTTCTGATTACGAGAATGGAGGTAAGCGTAATTAAATGTTATACCTGCCTTCCTATGTCATTCCAGAGTCAGTTTTTGGGACTCCAGGTAAAAATGTTAACCCTTGCAGTAGGGCTCATTTTTGTCTAGGGTAGCAAATAGGGATGTCCCGATACTAGCATCGGGACCGATACAGGGCATTTTTACTGAATTCGTATTGCCCGATGCCTGGGACATATCGTTCCGGGTGCCGGGCAAGCGAGAGCAGGGTGCGTGGAGTGGTGACAGAGCTGGATGGTGGAGCTGTGACAGAGCTGGATGGTGGAGCGGTGACAAAGCTGGATGGTGGAGCTGTGACAGAGCCGGACCCGTGGAGCTGTGACAGGCTCTGTCACCTCCCTCAACCTCTGTCCCCGTACTGTGCTAGAACTCCTGTGTTGGAGGTGACAGGGTCAATAAAGAGTACCTGTCACCTCCAAATGCTATCACACAAGCGCTTGTTAGCCCATGTGTGATAGCAATAAAGAGTACTCGTTCTCGGCCAAATGCTCCGATGCCTAGCCCGATACTTCCGATATCAGGAAGCTGGGCAGCGCCTCATTACACGCTGCCCGGCTTCCTGATTGGCCGGGAAGCCGGCTCCATGCTCCTTTGTCGCTTGGTGATGAGGAAGCATGGAGAAGGCTTCCTGGCCAATCAGGAAGCCAGGCAGCGTGTAATGATGCGCTGCCCGGCTTCCTGATTTTTCGGGAAGCTGGCCAATCAGGAGGCTGGGCGCCATGTAATGACGTGGCGCCCAGGTTTCTGATTGGCTGGGAAGCCGGCTTCCCTGCTAATTTGGAAGCCGGGTGGCGAGTCTTTACACAACGCCTGGCTTCCTAAATAGGACTTCCGGTACTCGGTACCGAAATACCGGTAGCTAAGATTCAGAAATTTGGTCCAGTTTTTATTACTACATCCTAATCCGAAAGATCATCCCTCCCTTCCTGTCCTCGTGTTGCTCATACAAGAAATAGGGGGGTGCCGGTGTTACCCCAACAGAAAGGCAAAGTCAAGTGAATTCCAATCGGTCCTCACTCCTATTGAAAAAAATTTGTCCCCTTTGAAGAGATTTCCTGATCCTTTGTAAGGGACTTTCTTGCTAAAACCAATATCTCACTTCGGGAGAGAAGTTTGATTGAATTACTAAAAAGCTTCTTACAATTGTTGGCAAGATCTAAGAAGATGGCGGAGCCCACCAGCATGTACCAATCCATCGACTGGCCCTTTAATGTGTGTACTGTATTTGCCAGCAGCGCCACCTATGGGCAGTTTAAAGGAAACAGATTTTGTTTTTGGTAGTCCGCCAATGTTTAGTTAGTCACACAATGGGGGGAATTTATCCAAACTGGAGCAGAAGAATCTGGAGCAGTTGCCCTGGGCAACTAACCAGCTTCTCTCTTCAGTTTGTTCAGTTAAGGTTTGAAAATGAAAAGTGGATGCCGATTGGTTGCCGTGCACGGCTGCTCCAGATTGTCTGCTCCAGTTGTGATAAATTCCCCTCGTTGTATCCTGACATTTCCTATTTTGTATTAATCTTCTTTTATGTGGTAAACCTTGCTGTGTGACCGGGTCTGATCCTCTACTGTGTATCTGAGAATCTTCATTTCACTCAATGTAATGATTTCTGTATGGTCACAGTGCGTCCTGCCGGAGACGCCAGCTGTGTGTGCCGATTGTCATTTTTTTTCTTTCTTCCTTCCAGTTATCAGAGGCTTTTACAGACTATCTCAGTGCTGGAGGCTCAGCGATCACAATCCGTGTTGGACGTTGAGAACTTAGCCGATCGACAGAAGGACGCGCTGATCGATCCTATTGGTTTTGTGGAGAAGCTTCAAAAGAAGGTATAGTGTAGTCTGAAAATTAAAGTGGCACTAAACTCCGGAGTTATACCTTAAAAATGCATTCAAGAACCTTAACTATTAATAACAATGTCTTATTTGTGTATCACTCGATTGAGCTTAGGGTGACGGGAGGACCCTAGTTTGTGTCCTCCCGTTACCCTAAGGAGAACTATGGGGAAAAGCCCTAACCCCATAGTTCTCCTTTAAGGCTTAACGCCTGAGTTTAGTGTCACTTTAACCATTTCAGAGGGTAGCACCTATCAAACCTTTTGATGAGCTAATTACACTTTTCTGCACACACTGCTGCTGTTTAAATATGTTATTCCCATTATAGGTGGAATCTGGTGAGTTGAGTACTACTGGCTTCTTATAACTTTTGGGAACTCGAGGAAAATGTCCTTGCTGTGTCTGCTAATAAGTTATTGAATAAAACCTGTTTTCAGTACACACCTTATTTTAGAAGTTATTTGCGGACATCTGAATGGTGTATGGCCCGGTTTAAGGAACAAAGGCTTTTACCTTAGCAAAATACATAATTGGATGACTGAAGCGAACGCAGCTTCACCTTCTTTACCAAGCTCGGTGAACATCCATTTGGCTTAGTGTTAAATGTACTGTTAGTAAATCGACCTTCGCAGGTCCACATATCAACCAGGCAACTCAAATATTCAGGAATTCAGCAGTGGCAGCTCTACATCTCTCTCCAGAAGCCCCCTTCAGACCTCTGCATTGGTGAAATGCATGGTAAATCATTACATTGCAAGTTATTTAGGATGACACCCCAATGCATGAGTTCAGTAGGTGCCAATGTTTGGGAGGTGAGTCTGGAACCGATTTTTTTTCTTTCTCCCTAATTAGATGGACATCGGGATACCGCGCACTCAGAGGATCGTCCAGTTACCAGAAATTTCTTGGGACCAGTATACTTTAGCTCTTGGAAACTTCGAAAGAGAGTTCAGAAACCGGAAGCGGAATTCGAGAAGAGTGAAGCTCATTTTTGATAAAGGTTAGAAAGTATTATGACGGAAGTCTGGCTGATCCCAATTTCACAGTTTTGGAATGTGGCGCACCCAGTCTGGTGATATATCTCCTCCACGCTGTGTAGCCAAGCATGTGACATCTGACAGGTATCCTATAGGTTCATATTTTTCTGCCCAAAAACTTGTGACAACAGTTACCTTATAATTGTCCTAATATATACTGTTGGCAGTTTCCAAAAATGTTCAGCAGCTCTTGACCTGACTGCGAGGTACCCTGTCTGAGCTGATATTAGGAGCAACTTGTGGTGTTCCACCAGCTTGGGCTCTATATGTCCATTCTTCCACCACTGGGCCTTAGAGATATATATATGTATATATATATTATTTTTATTTGTTTTTTAGTATCGGTGCATTCTTATACCATTTTTTTCTGTATCGAGTACCGATATTTGTTTTTCGGTACTCACCGATACCGGAAGTCCCATTAAGGAAGCCAGGTGGAGTAGGTGACGAGGGAGCATGAAGTCGGCTTTCTGGCCAATCAGGAAACCGGAGGCAGGTAATGACTCACCATTCAGCTTCCTGATTGGCCGGGAAGGTTGGAGAGTACTTTATAGGCTGCCTCTTGGGTGGTGATATTGCGAGAGCACCTGGAGATAGTATCCCAGATCGATCCCCACTCTTCGGGGGGTCTAGTGTGTCGAAGATCCCGCTGCCAATTCGAGACATATCGGTGGGTGGCTGTGGAAGAGAGGGCATTAAGCTGAGAGTATAAGAGAGAGATTTTTTAATGTAGGTTTGTTTTATAGTGAACAGATTCTTGTCTTTATTCATCTAAGGCATTGTGGGAAAATATGATGATTAAATTAGATGTAAACTCCAATCACTAAAAGAGGTTTTAACATTTTAATGCAATTTCAAAAGTCAGTTTCAAAATTTTAAAATCTGCAGCTTTTATTAAATAAAAACCTTGTGATCCTGCCATTAGACCCCGTTCACATTGAGCGATTTATCGCGCGGTAATTCCCGCGATATCGCGGCAAATTACCACGCGATATCGCGCTCCAATGCAATCTAATGGTGCAAAGGGTCCTGCTGTCGCGGGTCGTGTGTCGCTACAGCAGGACCCTTTTTGGAGCGGATTTAGCCGCGATTCAAGCTTGCTCAATGCAAGCTTGAACGCGACATCGCGCGGCAAAACGCGCGATTTGCATATCGCGCAGTGGGAACGGGGCCTTAGAGTCCTTGTTCAGACGCTTCCTTTCAAAGGTCTAGTTCACACAGGATTCAGCTTGTATAAGGAGGAAGGACAGTGTCAGCAGGGATTGAGAGATGATTTGAGGATCTACAGCCACGTGATACACACATAAGATACTTTTTTGTTAAAGGAGAATTATGAGGCGAGTGATTTTCACTCAGCCTCATAATCTGAGCCGACCTGTGACAATGAAACTGTCACGGGTCGGCTCAGTATATCGGGATGTGAGCGAACTCATACCGTCGCTCGCTCACTTCTTGATCCTGTCCCTGCAGAGAGCCGTGACTCATTCACGGCTCCCTGCAAGGATTCCCCCCTCCCCTGTCCGATCCTCCAGCGCTTACTGGCGGAACGGACGGGGGCGGGTACAGCTGGCTCTGCCTCTAGATAGGCAGAGCCAGCTGTCACTCACGCAGCTGGGTGGATCCAGACAGAATTGTCGGGATCCATTCCGGCTGCGGCATCTCAGTATACCGCGAGCTGTAGCTCGCGGTATACTGAGCTTAGGGTGATGGGAGGACGCTAGTTTGTGTCCTCCTGTTACCCTTAGGAGAACTATGGGGAAAAGCCCTGACCCCATAGTTCTCCTTTTAATAGTTAGGATACTTGAATGCATTTTTAGGATTTAACTCCTGAGTTTAGTGTCCCTTTAATATAAGGCAATATATTTTGGTTCACATTGTATAATGATATCACTAACGCAGAACGTTCCCTATTTGTTTTGCTCCGGCCAGCTGGGTTACATGCCAACTCTCAGAGAACAGGAGAAAAAGATGGAGAGCCTTCCTGTTATTCTGTCCTGCCCCAGAGTGATGATCAGGAATGCTCTGTGATTAACATGTCCCAGGTAAGAGAAGGGTTTTGGGAAGTCTGTACCCATAGGTGATATTTGATGAAGATCCTTAGATAATGCATAATTGTGCATCAGATATCAGTGTTGTGCATCAGGACCATTACAAATTAAGATATTTTCAGCCTCTAATCCAAGATGCCACGGCAGAGTATAAACTATATATAAAGCTTACGGACATCAGAGAACCATTCTAAAACAAAGAAAACAACCCATTCATTATGTGCCAGGTCCATTAATGTCTGTGTAAAAGGTGTAATAAAGCCCTCTTGGCTCAAATCCATCTAATTCATAAACTACTTTAACCCCTTAAGGACCAAGGCCTTTTTTTCCATTTTTTGCGTCCATGTTATAATCCACATTTTAGGCCTGAAAATTACTTCAAACCCCCAAACATTATATATTTTCTGAAAGCCAAGTCCCTATAGAATAAAATGGCGGCAGTTGCAAATTTTTATGTTGCACGACATTAGCACAACTTATCAAACCCAAAAAGTTAGTGAAAAATGCACTTAAGTTAAATTTAATGCCCCAAAACAAAACGAGTAAATAGATGCCCAACATGCCCAGGTAAAAAATTGTGTGCGTCCGTGAAACTGCAACAGATTTCAGTACCCCAAAAAGCCCATACACGACGCTTAAAAAGCCCCCACAGGTCATCAGTTTAGAGATGCAAGTAAATGCTGGCCTTAGAATTATTGCTCTTACTCTGGCGTGCGCGGGGATTCCCAACATGTGTAGCGAGATCGTCGTTTTTGTACGTAGGCGCACCCGACGCCTGTTTACATGAAAATGCGCGTGCTCGAAGGGGCGGGCGACTTAAAACATTTTTTTATATTATTTTCACATTTAATTTATTTAATATTATTTTTAAAACTGTTTTTTTCTTTTTTTTTTTTACTTTAATTGCTATCACATTGAGGGGGCTTGAAACCGCTCCCATATGCATATTTTATCTCTGTATTTAGCTGATGGAGCTCAGGTTTAATATGCGGAGTACCCATGACTCTGTTTTGCAGAGCATGCTGATAGAGAGCAGTGGGATCTTTTCCCTTTGTGACTGCCTCTTTGTAATGTAATCTCGGTACAGCCCTGTATGAACAGACTGGCATGGAGTGGGGCAAGTCACTTTTCTGGGCCCTATTGAGTTGCAGCTCTTTAAGTAGGGTCCTTAAAAAAAAAAAATCAAGGTTAGCCTGATACGTTTGGGAGAAGCAGCCCATAGTTCCACCCCCTGGCTACACATGATGCCAAATATATTTATATCTAGTGTTTTATATTCTCTTTGAGACATATGTCTGTGGCTCTGTGTTTGAAATGCATACCAGAGCTGTATTAGCCTCTAGACCGAGTGTTACCAAGGTCTGCCATAGGAGGCTGCAGTTGGATTTTTAGACCTGCACACATACTACGGCCAAGTTAAAGAAGGAGTCCAGGAAATCTTTTATTAACGCTTGAAGTGGGGCTAGCCCTGCACTGCAAGGGTTAAAAGCTTGTTTGTGTCTAGGTTAAAAAATAAAAAAGCTAGACTCACTAGAAGCTCTGAGCCGGCTTGATCTTAGACCGGTCCTTCCAGTCCCCCTCGCGCGCCCCCCCCCCCCCCCCCTCCTCTGCAGGTCCAGTAAATCATCAATGTCTACACACAGTGTATAGATGTGAGGGCGCTGGGAAAGATTCCAATGCTGCAGCAGAGGAGGCGGCAGGCTGGAGGGAGCGCTGTGACAGCTGGCCGGCTCAGAGCTTTGCTTGAGTGTCCCAAGACACAAACAAGCACTTAACCCTTGCAGTGCGGGGGTGGCCCCACTGCATGGGTTAATGACAAATCTCCTGCAGTGCTTTAAACAGTAGTCAATTAACCTACCTGCATGGGGAGGGAACCCAGACTACCTGGTGAAAACCCACACAAGCACAGGGAGGACATGCAAACTCTAAGCAAATGATCATAAAAGGGGCATTCAAACCGAGGCCCCCAATGCTACAAGGCAGGAGTGCTAACTGCACTACCCATACTAGTATAACATGGAATCAAGTTTCCTTCCTGAGTTTATGCAAATTATGCAAAAACAGCTGAATGGTGTGGGGGGAAGATTTAGTCAGAGAGCAGCTCATTCTGACTTGTTGTATTACAGGTAAGAGGCAGACTCTGTGTGGACTCCAAGGCGGGAACCTTCAATCAGTTGTGGACAGTGGAAGAACAGGTAAGGGATCCAGTCCATCACGGTGTCATTCTGATCTCCTTTCCTCCAGTTTAATACATTTGCTCTTTTTGAATTACGCTGAACACTCGATTGTTGTATTTTTATGATCGAATAGAAAAAACTGGAGCAGCTGCTTTTGAAGTTCCCCCCGGAAGAGGTGGAATCCAAGCGGTGGCAAAAGATTGCAGACGAGTTAGGAAACAGGACGGCCAAACAAGTGAGTAGCCTGCTACTGTCCTTCACTGTCTATGACACAAGAACGTCCTGCACAGTGGGGAATATGCAAGTGTTGTCTGTCCTGAGGGGATCTTGACATGATCCTGTGCTTTGCAGATGAAGTTCAACAGGTTTACATTAGTACTACTCTCTCCATCAGCCCTGCAAAAGCTCAGAGTTACTCTAGTTAGAGCCGGTATGTAATTGCTAAAGAGACCCTGTCACCAGACCATTCATATCAACAAAAAACTTCCCATAAGATCACATGTGCACTTAATGTATTTTATGCATGTTATTTTCCTGTAAAAGCCTCCCTTTGGTAGACACCCAAAAGCCACGAGACTGCTGCTGGGTGCCACCATCTTTGGGTGTGATGTCAGCAGACCAGAAGCTGTCACTTAAGTGACCCTGTGTTGCCGGGTAAGGAAACTCTAGCCCTCCGGCTGTGGCAAACATACAAATCCCATCATGCCTCTGCCTCTGGGAGTCATGTCTGTGGCTGTCAGTCTTGCAATGCCTCATGGGAATTGTAGTTGCACCACAGTTGGAGGGCCAGAGTTTGCCTACCCCTGTTCTATTGTATTGCTCTTTATTACTCTCTTGGCATCTTCATAAAAGGTTATGTGGGGAGGGATGGAGAAGCTGGACCAGCATAGACAATGATTAGGTAATCCAGAGGAGCAATGATGTGCAAGAAGGGAGAGGGCTGTCCTAGGGAATTGACTGCTGAAATAGTCAAGTAAGCATTCACATTACTGGATTTTTTTGTGGTGGGAGGAGCCTATCTCTCTAATGCTGTCCTGGAAGGTTCCTAGAAACAGAGTTACCAGGTACGTAACTCCAATTTTTTACTGCAATTGTTTCAGTTGGTGACAGGGCCTCTTTAAAGACTGATGAATTGTTTGGCTCAAAGGGCACTGACACTTTTTTTATGGGCCATAGTGAGTTCAGCATCGTTCGGATGTCTTCCTTCCTAACTCTATGCATTAGATTGGCTCTGCTGGGGAGATCATTAAAGTGATCATTATATTATTATGGCTTCAAGGGATTGTGGTAGGGACACAGGCTGGAGAGTTAATGGTAGGGGAATCACAGTAAGTGGATATAAATGTGTGTTTATAGTGGAGAGCAGATCTATCCACTGTACAGTACAAACTTTCTCTACACTGCAGCAATTACTTTGCGTCCCACCCATTCATACAATGCAAGCTGCGGTATGGCACAGAATGTAGAAGTGGATGGTAGTTCCAGGCCCAGTGATAAACCTTCAGCTCTTCTACTGTGAACACCGGACAGACTGTTCCTCAGGCTGGTAGTTGGCTTTGTGCTCACTCATCCTTCTGGATAATACAGTTGCTTTTTTTTAATCATTGTGACTTGTTTTCGCAGGTTGCCAGCCGAGTGCAGAAGTACTTTATAAAACTGACCAAAGCTGGCATCCCAGTGCCAGGGCGAACTCCAAACCTTTACATGTATTCTAAAAAGGTATAAAAGGGTGAGGGGATACCGGCTGCCTAATGCTTGTGCTTGTATATGTTATTAGAAGGCATCAGGTTTGTTATTTTTATGATGGATTTTTCTCCATGTTTTATTTTGTGATCAGTAAGCATATTCTGATTTCCTTGTGCCGCCCTGTCTGCCGTTAGTGAATCTTTTATTATCTCTGAATTTATGTTTGTTTTTATTTTAGTAAGGAAATATTGTATTGCATAGGTGAATTCATTATTATTTCGATAATCCATAGGGGTTCATTTATCTGCTCACTGTTATGCACTACAGACCCCTGCAGCCCATCTCATTCATAAAAATCAGGCAGCAAGGTGTAGCTGGCAAAGGCCCATGAGGTTCTACTCAATGGAACTGAGAGAGCTCTGTCATTGCAGGAGAGCAGGTCCTGTGACTTTGACAGGTGACATGATTGGGTTCTCCTCCCAGCTTTTTTTTCCATTTACAGAATCGTCATTCAGGGGAGTACAGAACAAATTTGTAAAGCACATCGCTGTGTTTTTGTGTTTTTAAGCAGCGGTAAGGCTGCTTTTTAAATGACCCTCCTGGTGATTTGAAAGACAAAGATTGTACACTGAGAGGCCAGTTTATTATGACCACCTGACGTTTGTAGGCAAATTAGCTATAATTTCGCGCTGAAGTTGCTAGAGGGCCAGACCATTATAAATAGGGAAGCAGGTTGTTTACCACGGCAGTAGAAGTGATTTTTTTCTGAAGATACGGGGAAACAACGCAATTTAACAGCCTTTGAACGTGGGATGATTGTTGGCGCTCGGAGCCATGGAGCGAGTATCAGCAAAACAGCAGAATTGGTAAATGTTCAAGAGCAGCTGTTGTTAAAGTGTTTAAAGACCGGACTGTCAGCCGAAAATCTGGGTCTGAACGTGCGAATTGTGGCCGTCAGCGACTAGTCAATGTTAGGGCAGAACGGAGAGTGGCAAGACTGGTACAAGACAACAGAAGGGCAACAGTGCAGTGTCAGATTCCTCGCATCACCTTTCAACATCTCGTGGAGTCACGAGGCGGCCCAACGAAGTACTGATGGGGTGGTCATAATAGTCTGGCCACTCAGTGTATATAGTGAAGCTTTTGTAAAAAGTTTAAAAACTTGTAAACTGCCCTTGTCTTGCCCCTCCAACCCCCAACTTACCCCCATCCCAGAGCATTAAGAAGAACCCTGGAGAACCTGTTACTCTGTTAACCTTGGCAATTACAGTTGTGTTTATATTGGCTAATATCACAATGTTTATCACCCTGTCACCAGCTTAACAATTTGTAGGTAAAAGCACAGAACAATCTGGTTTTTTGTTGTCATGCAATGAGGGACACAGGAAGCCTTTCTCCTTCAGATTATACTGCTACCTTCAGCAGGATTTGACACTGGCAAACAAAAAAAAAATTGTAAGCCAACCTAAGAAATCCTTCCCAGTATCAGTATGCCTCGGTTTTTAACTAGTGTCCGAGGAGCAGCCCTGCTGCTGAAAGACTAACCTACGTCTTGCTAGCACTAGTTTCTGCATTGTTAGATGGCCTCCAAAAAAGAACAGAGACACTCTTTTGGAGCCTCTTAAGAAATTGTCCATGGCATTCACCAGGTCCACCATCCCTTCTCTTTCTCAGAAGGACTTTTTGACCACTGTGGTCAGCCAAGACTCATGAGTACAAGTCCTTGTTCTTTCAGCTCTATGACCTTTTAGTCTTGCTCCTGTAACCTATGAGTTTACCAGAGTGCTGACCCCAGTGTTTGCCATAATGCATTCCCATGGCATCCCCATTGTGGGATACATAAGCGACCTCCAGTGCAGGAAACAGTTGGTGTTTGCCATCTTTGGTAACATGAATAAGGTTGGATCCTGACTCTTCAGAAATCAGCGCTGTAGTCCTCTAATCACCTGCAGGCAGCATAAGCCAGGTGGTTTCTTCTGCAAGCAAATCTTCATGTCCTTGTTCTTCAGTCTGGGAGTTGCCTGTCTCTCAGGTGTTCATTAGAGTTGCAGGTCTGTGGTTTGAGGCACCCCTTTATCTCAGCGCTACAGTCCTTTGTCCTGGGACAATTTGGCCATGATCAGGTTGTTTACGGTCTGCTGGATCATTCTTCCAGCTCTGGAGTCAGGGAAGTTTTTCCTTACCACTTCTGGAAAATCCTATTATCGGAAGTATGCTTGTTGGGCTGGAGAGGAGCTTTGGCATCCTACTGTTGTAAGGGCCCTCAGCATCGGAGAGTTGGCATCTCCCAGTCTGTATCCTGGAAGGAGCTGATGACTTCACCTACAAGATGGCGGAACCCAGCAGCAGCCCCAGGCCTTTTAGTTGCCTAAACATGAGATGCTCCTACAGGTCAATAACATGCCTAAAATACATCAAATGCTCATATAATCCCATGGCAAGGTTGTTGTTGAAATAAATGGTCTGGCAACAGGTTCTCTTTAATGTATTTTCCTGCTTTTGTACACACAGCCTCCCAGTAAGCGACAGCATGTCCTCAACAAACATCTGTTCAAACCCTCCACCTTCATGACATCACACGAACCACCTGTGTTCATGGAAGAGGACGACGACCACTCCAGTTACCGGGACCTCGACGCAGCTGCTGACGAAGACGATGAAGTCTCGGTAATTGTGCTCGATTTGTCTGTGTTCAAATCTCTCCTGTGCGCCGTGTATGATTTTATAGTGGAGATACTGTATATTGCGTCTACTATCACCTGTCGTAGTTTCCTCTTCCAGATGTATTTCATTCACAATTTCTATTCCGAACTACTTTATCAGATTATCCAAAAGATGTAAAATAATGCCATCGCTGTTTGCAATGACTCATTTTACCCAACAGATGTATACCTGCGCGCCTTGAGGTTTTAACTTCACTGTTAGTGCCGGTGTAGACCGGCTTCCATGTGCAAATCGGCATGTTTGCTGCAGAAGTTTGAAATGCAGTTTGACCTCCTTCTGACTTGCGATTGAGCTGCTGCTTTTTGCATCTTCATAGACTTGTAGTTGGAGAGAAGCAGTTTTGAAGAATGCAAACATTTTTTAACCCTTAAAGTAGGGCTACCCTTGCACCGCAAGTAGAGCTCGCTTTGGTCTAGGTGCAATACAACAAAGTTATACTCACCTGATTGTCGCAGCCAACTGGCTGGTAGAGCGCGCCCTTCAACCTCGCCCCTGCTCCGCTGCATCGATGGTATGTCCCTCGGTGTCCTTACATCCTATACATGTATAGGACATGACTCACAGGACCTCAGACTGCTGGAGCAGAGGAGAAGAGAGGCTGGAAGGACCGGTCTAAGAGCAAGCTGGCTCCAAGGGTTGGGTGTGTATAACTTTATTTTTGCACCTACACCAAAACTACACATCCTTTGCAGAAGACGTGTATCCAAACCTCTGTCATTGTCCTTAGTGGTGAGACAAGTTGTTTTACATGCTGGTTTGTGAGTGTGCCATGATGCCTTTCTACTGTTCTACACCAAAACTAGCACCCAACCCTTGTAGTGCAGGGGTAGCCCCACTGCAAGGGTTAAGAACATTTTTGCCTGGAGTTCTTTAATTAGCATTTAACCGTTGCAGTGCCAGCCACACTACTGCAGCTGTAGTTTTTGTTAAATTCCATGAAGGAGATGGATACAGATCACACACATTTACTGTTTAGTCTGGAGTTCAGTTTTAAGTATCTCCAGTCATTGAACTCATGCAAGTTTGATAATTACTAATCCAGGACCGTTTCTGAAGGTTGGAGCCAGACAGTCAGATAGCATTTGCAGAAAGGGGTCAACAGTAGCAACTCCTATATATCAGCATAGATTTTCTTAACATCTGTGGAGAGGTGGTCCTTGTTTTACGACATTGGTATCGGTAGCCAGACAATTATATACAAATGCTAATCTGTCCCCTCTGCAGGATGAGGAGTCCATTCCCGCTGCTTGCCGTGGCCTACAAGAGTATAAAGAGCTACTTGAACTGAAAAAACTGAAGAAGCAAAGACTCCAAGACATGGAGGCTGACAGTGGCTTCGTGCAGCATGTTGGCTTCAAAGTAAGTTCACTCCTGAGGTGTAAATTGAGAATTTGTCTAATTCTGTTTTTAATACTTTTTCCAGATTTTGGAGGATGATGGAGCTTCCTCTGTAGTGCCCCATTCTTACAGGCAGGGGGCGCTGAATGATGCTAAAATGAATGGAGTTGTGATTTGTAGACACAGTAGATCAGTCAATGATAAAGCCGGCCATACACCAGTAGAATTTAATTCTGAGGAATCATTCGTCGGACAATTCAACGGTATTCATCATCATTGACTCAACTCATTTAATTGGAAAGCCCTTAAAAAGTTTGTCCCAACCTGACATTAAATAGAATCCGAGCAGGTTTTCTATTGCTTATTAAATAAAGAAAGACTAATGCAATGTTTATTTTACCTTGAAATATTTATTGCATTCATAGAAGAAGATATATGCATTCTGCTCATCAGCCCATGAGGTTGTAGAGGCTATACACATACTCTCACACTCTCTCTCTGCCCCCCCTTGACTTGCCACCTGGCTTCCTGATTAGCCGGAAAGCTGTCCCCATGCTTCTTTGTCACTAGGTGACGAGGTAGCATGAAGCCGGCTTCCCGGCCAATCGGAAAACAGGGCGCCACGTCATTACATGGTGCCCGGCTTCCTGATTGGTCAGCTTCTCGACCAATCAGGAAGCTGGGCAGTGAGTCATTACACGCTGCTCGGCTTCCTGATTGGACAGGAAGCCGGCTCCATGCTCCCTCGTCACAAGTGACGAGGAAGCATGGAGCCGACTTTCCGGCCAATCGGGAAGCCAGGCAGCGTGTAATGACTCACTGTCCAGCTTCTTGATGCCGGAAGTATCGGGCTAGGCATCAGAGCATTTGGGCGAGAATGAGTACTCACCCAAATACGCGGCACCGATTCTAGTATCCGTATCGCTGCATCTCTAACAGAAACCTTTAGTTTTTCCATACATTGCTATAACATGCATAATTGTTTAAACGAATGTTCGTGACCATGAAAGTTCTAATTCCGGATGAAATTTTGCTGGCCATAACCTGTTCAGTTTATTTTTTTGTTCAACCCACGGGCTGAACGAAAAAAATAGAACAGATTCCTCTATTCCTCCATCAACGCTTACAAAGGTTGATCGAGGAATCTGTTTGCTTTTGTATTTCCTTTGAATACCTGAACAGAGCCTGTAGCTTACTGGCTGTCGCCTACGTTCGTTCGAAGATTTTCCGACTGCCGTCTTTGATCAGCAAATCAAAGGATGCCGGACGAAATTCGCATATTGGGGGTGCCACTGTCTGCACCCTTTCGGTTCCTGAGGGACTGGCTGAAATTTGTACAGTGTATGGCCACCTTAAGTATGAATTTTCCCAACGGAGGATCAGATTAAGAGTTAGAAATGTTGTTCTTTCAGATGAGCAGCATTTTCCAACCCGGGCCTTTCATTTTTCAATATTACAATATTTGTTTTGTCCCCATTAATTATTAGAAAAACAAATGAACTTTCTGAAAACTGAATTTTTGTAACAGAATTCTACTGGTGTGTGTAGTCTCCTGAGAAAAGTAAATAAACATTTACTGGAATATATTTTATCATTTTCCACTTTTATAGAATAGGTAGAAGAGCTCTTTTGCTCCTGATTGGCAGGCTCTCATCCTCCACCAATCAGATGTTTTATCAAAGCAGCAGTGCGGCTGCCACCATAGGGAGCTGCTCCGTTTTCTTCCAGCATGCTTAGAAACTCATTAGATGAAACTCATTAGATGAAATGGGTTCCCGAGGCTGGGCTGTGCCTGTGTGACAAACCAGCCATGGGATTCCAGACTTGGATGCATTTAAAAGTCCAGCAGGTGTATCTGCTTGGTAAAGCTGGCAAAGCAGCTGATTAGTCCAGGATCAGCATGCAGTGCACCTTCCCACCAGAAGAGGGACCCAGAGCGAAGGCCTCAAGTGTTTTTAAAAGTGAATCCTCTCTAGTTGAAGTCCCGAGATGGTTTACTTTGCAAGAAGATCACCAGCAAATGTATTGTCCATTTATTGATTGCTGTGGTCTCTTTAATCTCAGGACTCTCCTTGCCCCAGCCTTAGTGTTTTGATGAGTTCCACGCTCTGTGCGGCGGTATAGTTTACAGCAGGAGTAGGCAATCTCCAGCCCTTCAGCTGAAACTACAAATATCATCATGCATCTGCCTCTGGGAGTCGTGTGTGGCTGTCAGTCTTGCAATGCCTCTTGTTTTTGTTTTTTTTGGAGGGCTGGAGTTCGCCTATGCCTTGTTTAGGGCATTCACTACTAATAAAGCTGACTGGGTAGATCTGCTATCTCCCTGAGGATGGAGTGGTAACGTCTGTCTGCGTATTGGCCCTAGGTTCAATATTTACCCAATTAGGAAGCCGTGCACATTGTGAATGCCATATAAATGAGCTCTTATTGTGCAAAGATTTTCTAACAAGTTGTAAAGCTCTGAGTGATATTGAGCGCTTTGGTTGCCTATTAGGGGGTCTGAAAGGGGGAGATCTTGCCTTAGTGCAGCATTGGGTCACCAAATCAAGGGTGGGTAAAGGCTGACCTCGCTCTGTGTACAGCTAAGTACAGTGTTGATGTGTCCCCCCCCCCAGTGTTCCCAGCAT